AAATAAAATATTTTCATTACATAAATTTTACTTGGTACATAAGGATTATCATTTGGTCTAAAGATTTGCGGCTTGATAGGTTTTTACTTGGCTCAAGCCTGTACCTAAAGTCAGGTCAAGTTGCGCCAAATAAAGTTTGTGATTTGAAGCCTAACCAGTTAACCTATCAAAAAATAAACAAATAAGAAAACCAAGAATATAAGGCTATCTCAACTATTAGGCTAAGGTGATAAGATGAGCCAACCTGTTGTCTTGTGAAAGGTGATCCGCTATTAGGCCTGTAAATGAAAAGAATCATTTGTGGGGGGGCTTGAGCTTAGCTTGGCAGGAGTTCGTTCGAATTTGATTTGTTAAATTTTTTTTTTTGTGATTGAGTTTGAATTTGAGCCTACCAAGAATATAAGGCTATCTCAACTATTAGGCTAAGGTGATAAGATGAGCCAACCTGTTGTCTTGTGAAAGGTGATCCGCTATTAGGCCCGTCAATGAAAAGAATCATTTGTGGAGAGGCTTGAGCTTAGTTTGGTAGGAGCTCGTTCGAATTCGATTGGTTAAATTTTTTTTTATGATTGAGTTCGTACTTGAGCCTATTAAATTTTTAATAAACAAGCCCAAATATTATAAAACTTGACTCGTTTGCTGGCTCGTTTAATATTTATTATTTATATATTATATAATATAAAAATAAGATAAATATGTTATTTATATATTAAAAAAATATAAATGCAAATAAAATTTAACTATAGATAGTACATGTATATAATAGTGGTAGTAAATATTATTATTTTGGTAAAATATTGACTTTTTTTTAGTATATTTATATATAATTGTATAATCAAAGTTTTAATTGTAACTTTAGTCTCATATGCAAGTATGAATTTATAATTTTTTTGGCTCATTAAGGTTTGTGAACAACGTTAGGATCCTCTAGAGTGATCCTCCTAAAGTGATCTCCTAGAGTGAATGAGATGGACCCGACACGTGTCCCACTAATGGAATCAAGGATTGAGATTAATCCTTACAAAAACGACGTTGTTTTGGTGGAAAAAAAAAAAATGAAAAAAAGTGAACAGAATGAGAAAGAAGCTGCAAACTATACCATCATCATGGATTTTGATCCGTGAAATCAAAATAAATAAAAAAAGAAGATTAAATTGATTCGATAATAAGATTGATTCAGATCTGTATCATCATCATCATCACCATCATCAAAAGATTGAAGAAAAAATGTGAACAGAATGAGAAAGAGGCTTCAAATTGTATCATTATCATGGATTTTGATCTGTGAGATCTAAATAAATAAAAAAGAAGATCAAATCGATTCAATAATAAAATTGATTCAGATATGTATCATCATCATTATCAAAAGATTGAAGAAAAAACGTGAACAAAATGAGAAAGAGGTTTCAAAAGATTAAATCGATTCGTCGATAATAAGACTGATGGGGAAAATAAAAAAAAAAAAAAAAAGTGAAAAAAGTGAACAGAATGAGAAAGAAGCTGCAGACTATACCATCATTATGGATTTTGATCCGTGAAATCAAAATAAATAAAAAAAGAAGATTAAATTGATTCGATAATAAGATTGATTCAGATTTGTATCATCATCATCAAAAGATTGAAGAAAAAATGTGAACAGAATGAGAAAGAGGCTTCAAATTGTATCATTATCATGGATTTTGATCTGTGAGATCTAAATAAATAAAAGGAAGATTAAATCGATTTGATAATAAGATTGATTCAGATCCTTTGTATCATCATCAAAAGATTGAAGAAAAAATGTGAACAGAATGAGAAAGAGGCTTCAAATTGTATCATTATCATGGATTTTGATCTGTGAGATCTAAATAAATAAAAAAGAAGATCAAATCGATTCAATAATAAAATTGATTCAGATATGTATCATCATCATTATCAAAAGATTGAAGAAAAAACGTGAACAAAATGAGAAAGAGGTTTCAAAATATTAAATTGATTCGTCGATAATAAGACTGATTCAGATTTGTATCATCATCATCATCAAAAGATTGATTCAGATATGTATTTCTATATGCTTATATGTATTTTTACATATATCATCATCAAAATCAAAATGAGAGTATGTATTTTTATATGCATATATGTATACTTACAGACCCCATATCATCATCATCATCAAAATCAAAATGAGCAACATAATTAGCAGATCCGGTCAATGAACATGGAGATCGGCGGAGGAGGTCTTTCAGATCTCCGCAGTAGCGGAGAAGCCATGCTTGTAACAGGGCTAACTTGAACAAGGGCTGTTTTCATCATCATTATCAAGGGCTGACTTTAACAGATCTCCCCCCTTCAAGGCCTTATTAGAAAGCCAACCATCACTAATATTCAACTGTTAGATTTCAAGAGGACATGAAAGAACAAGGAAAGAACAAAACAAAATCAAAGCCTTGGTCCCTTCTCTCTCTCTCTAACTCTCTCCAGAACAGAGTGAAAGTGAACCCAGTCATTTGATTTTTTTTTTTAAAAAAAATTCCCCCACCAAAACGACGTCGTTTTGGTGAGGGATTGATCTTAACCCTTAATTCCATTAGTGGGACACATGTAGAGCCCATCTCACTCACTTTAGGAGATCACTCCAGAGGATCCTAACGATTGTGAACAGGCTTGAGCTTGGGTCAAGCCTAAGCCAACTCGGCTCGAGCTTGGTTTATTAAATTTTTATCGAGCTTGAGTTTGAGTTCGAGTTAATTAAAATCTTAATAAACAAGCCAAAATATACTAAAGCTCGGCTCAGCTCGGCTCGGCTCGGCTCGGCTCGTTTGCAGTCTTACCTGCCATGCTTTCATGTTTGTCCGAGGCAAGTTTGTTGAATAAGACTTAAGCCTAAAGTTTTGACTTGCAACTTAGATATGAACGAGTTTAAGCACCGTTTTAATAAAATTTGCCAAATTTGACCTTGCATGAATGTATATGATATTTTTAATTTTATCATTACTCTTATATGTACTTACCATATTTTATACACTAGAATGATCTAAATAAGTATAATTTTTGATTTTTTTAGAAAAAATGTGTAGAAAAAGTAAATAGTGATGTGACCTAAAAAAATAAAATGATAAAAGTGTGCTAATATCCAACATGCCAAAAAAACATTAACAATTATCTTTACATAAAAACATTTTGTCTACTCTAATACAAATAGATAGAAAACGAAAAAATAAATAATAAAAAAAGAGTAGGTTATTTTAGTCTAAAAATTGGACTCACTTTTTATATTTAATGATGTAGTAAATTATTATAATATATAACACAACTCTCTTATGTCTTCTTTAATCATCATCCAATAATCTATTGTACACATTTTTTGAATATTAAAAATGAATCTAAAAAGTAGCTTCTATATAGTTTTCCTAAAAAAAATGTAAATTACAAATACATTTCATAAGATTCGCTTAAAATACAAATTGTTCCTTATGATTATGGAAATTATGTTCCGCCCTTTAAATTTCTAATCGCGTAACAAATGACACATTTATTAATAAATCATTAAGCAATTAACAGTTTTTAATGATATTAAAAATATATTTTATATTAAATATTTGACAATTTTATTATTATATAGGAGAGTAATTAGGAAATTTATTTTTTCTATTAATTATGTTAAATAAAAAATTCATACAAAGGGATATTTATAATTCCAAAATTACAGGTGACAAACTATATTTTAAGCAAACTTAGGGTTGATTTGAGAATAAGATATTTTATTAATTTTTTGATTTTTCGAGTAAAATATGAGGTGAAAAAATTAGTATGTTTTTAAGTTTTTACAAAAAACAAATGTATAAAAAATAGAGAGAAAAGAAAATTTTTAACTTTTTACATAGTTTTTTTACTTTAGGTTGTTTGTCAATAAGTTAAAATATTTAAAAAAATAAATAAAAAGCACTATAAATTATCATAATTTTTATTTTTATTTTTATATATTTTTGTAAACAATAAAAAAAACCTGATTAAAATAGTAGTTAATTTCCAAACAAGATGGAAAAAAATGGAAAATAACAGTGCAATGGTGATAGTAAAAAAAATTACAAAACCATGAAGAAGAATGGCGTTGTTGACGCCACATTTAAACCAGCCAGTTCGAAGGTGACACGTGGTAGCAAATGGTATTCCGTGTTATTTGATGTGATAGTGAAGAATTCCACATTCGAAGAATTCCACATGAGCTGCGAATGCAAGTCTTCAACCAACAAATACGATAAGCAACATGTAAGAGACAAGTGAAAAATGAGTTAACGATGAGCAATTACTAGCATTATGGCCTTAAGCAGTAGCGAGAATGAAAGAGATCATGGTAGAAGATAACCGTCTAACTATTTTGAATGCGCCAAGAGAATGTTATAAATAAATGGAGGCAAAGACTAAATAGACCCTTGACCAAATCCAGATTTTACATCTTTGTCAATTTTATTTATTTTTAAATTTCTACACTTTACTTTTATCTACTACACTTGCCGTTCGTATGAGTAGATTAACATTGTAATCCTAGAACCCAACTGGTTTAAAAGTTTCGAAATTATCCTTACTAAAGGTAAACATTTTGTAATTATTTATTTAGTTAATCAGTTGCAATTTTTGATTAGTCTTTTCCTCTCATTCGGTTATGAATTTAAGTTAAAGTTTTAGTTCATCTTTTCAATATAAAACAATAAAATTCTCTTCGTTGAGGCTAAGAGAATCTTAACAAAACCGTTTGATAAAAATTGTCATTTATTATCTGTAAAAAAATTTTAAATCCTTATTGATACGCTTAAATTACGCTTCTAACATTTAAAATATCAAAAATAGCCAATAGATATTTTAATTATTAAAGTATATAATTTTTTTTTTATTGATTTGTAAATTTTTTTAATTGTTATTTCCCAAACTAATAATAATAATAATAAAAAAGTGTACGAGGTGACGCTAGGGTCGCACTTGGCAATCGGTATATTATTATTGAGAAGGAACTATGCTTTTATTTGTTGGGAGTGCAAAATAAATTTGATAAATAGAAACCCAACCCAAACAAAGGAGAGTTTCCTGGGAATATGTACTCACTGTTTGTTTGTTTAAATTTCCAAAAATGAAGAGAGGATTTCATTTCCTTCCTCTCCCAAATCTTTTTACAGAGACCTGTCTTCCCAAAATAACCGTCTTTTCTCTCTCCAACACCCGAACAAACAAACCAACCTACCATCACTAGTACTCTCGGCAGTTGAAACTTAGAGAGAGAGAGAGAGGCGCAAATCGACAATTCGATTTTTTATTTTCGTTGATTGAATTTTCGATTTTGTTCTGGGCTTTGATTGATCGGGTTTGACCTAGTTATTTTATTAGCATTATTTTGGCTTCAATTGATTGATGCGATCGTTTCAATATGAGAATGTACAGTGTTCATTTTGTTGTTCGAGAATCTGATTGTATTGATTGGAAGAGAATTGAGGGTTATAGGGAGGAACATTGATTATTATGTATGTTTGATGAGTTTTGTGGTGTGAAAGATTGAATCTTGGGGTCCGAAATGAGCACCCAAAAGCCGGCTGTGACGGTTCGGGACCTGGCTGAGGAAGCCAAGAAGCGGATTGTTTATCTGATCATATGCGTGGTTGGGTTGTCTTATCTCATGTCCTGTAAGTTCTGGGTTTTTGGTTTCACTGAACTTTGTTGCAGATTCATCATACTTTTTATTGATTAATGGTGAAGATTCATCTTTTTTAATTGGTTCAATTGGGTTATTTATTCTGGATTTTGAATTTGATTGTTGTGTTCATTTGGTTGATGGTAATTTATTCATCATGTCTATTGGATTATTCAATTTTGTGCCATTTCTAGTATAGCTTAAAGAACATTCTGGTAATCTTGTAAATTCCCAACTCTGAAATTGATTGCACTGTGGTTTCCCTTTTCATTGAATTTTTTTTTTTTCTTTCTTCGTGTCTGAAGGCAGTTTGCAAGGATCTTTTATCTATGTCTTGGCTGTTTAATTATCAGTGTTAAGTGTTTAAGAGCTTGTTTAGTACATGATGTACATCGAATTCTGTTCTTTTATTTTTTTAGCAAGAGAAAAAAAGCTCGAGATATACATTGCATGAGAAGAACAACATGCTTTGTCCTCTTTTTGATAACGAAGTCTATTTATTTCATCCATGAAAGCCATTGACTTCCATTCTTAAATGAATGATCAAGTTATGTTGGCTTTTATTAGTGGGAGTTTTCAGAGGCCAACTGTTAATGGTGGACCGTGGAAGCATATGTGCCTTTGTTACTGATCTGTCTGATGTAACTCATGCTGTATTTTATCTACCAGGAAGAGGAAAATTCTCCTTCATTATTCCCCCTTGAGATACAACATGAACAAAATAAAGTTGGTTGTCTTAAGGCTGGTCATGTTTCTTTTTATTTATTTGTTTATTTATTTTATCATAACTTTGCAACTTATTACCCCATTCGTGTTTCAGGGACAAGCTCCTCAGTCTGGGTGAATTTGCCTGCTGCTGCCTTCTTAATAATCACCCTTCGATATTTTTCTCTGGATTTTGAGATGCGGAGGAAAGCTGCAGTATACAACAGCAACAGCAAAATAACCTCACCAAATATGTGTTCTCAAAAGAAACCTCTTGAAGGTCCTAAAGCTGTATTTGAGAAATCTGACTGGAGAAGGAAAGTGAATTCTCCTGTTGTTGAGGATGCAATAGATCATTTCAATAGCCATCTAGTGTCTGAGTGGGTGACAGATCTGTGGTACTCTCGCATCACTCCTGATAGACAAGGTCCAGAGGAGTTGGTGCAGATCATAAATGGTGTTCTTGGAGAAATTTCATCTCGCATGAGGAATGTAAATCTCATAGATCTGCTGACAAGGTTCTAATTTCAGAGGTTTCCCTTACATATTTTTTTGACTTTGGGTTATGTTTTCTTTGGTAGTGCATTTATGAGAAAACATTTTTCCTGGGATAATGCAGGGACATAATTAAACTTTTCTGCACACACTTGGAGCTTTTTCGTGCAAGTCAGGCGAAGATTGAGAAGAAAAAGCCCGGATCTCTGACTTTTGAACGTCGAGATGTGGAACTAAAATTTGCACTGGCTGCAGATAACAAATTGCACCCTGCTCTGTTTTCTGCTGAAGCTGAGCACAAGGTTGTTCACATCATTTCTTGACCTCTATATCATAAGTTTGTAATTCTGCAGATCTTTCTCCCGAAGTATTTCTAATGCCTTCATCATGGTCCCAATGCCTTGTTTGTTCTGAATACTTACAGGTACTTCAGTATTTGATGGACGGTCTGATATCTTTGACATTCAAGCCTGAGGATTTACAATGCTCCTTGTTCCGCTTCATTGTTAGAGAGCTTCTTGCTTGTGCAGTAATGCGACCTGTACTAAACTTAGCTAGCCCAAGGTAAATAACCTTTTTGTGTGTGTGTGTGGTTTTGCCATGTTCTTTCGCTGTTATTTATTTTCTTTGATGGTGGTGTCAGGTTTATTAATGAAAGGATTGAATCTCTAGTTACTTCTTTAAGCAAAGCTAATAAAGGAGCAGCAACTGCACAAATGGCATCTCAATCCAAATCAAATGGGTCTTCAAGGATTTCCTCTGATCATTTTTCTTGCCTTTTAGATCCTTCTGTTAAGGGTGTTGAGCTTGTGCAATTTAAGAAGGATCAATCTGAAACTGCTCAACAGAAGTCTCCAACAGACCATGTGAATGGAACACTTCTTTCAAAGGATCCATTGCTTTCCATGGATACCAGATCGACCCATTCTTGGAGTTCTTTGCCATCAGATCCCCAAACTGATGATGGAAGAGGTATTCAACGACACCACTCTGGAGAAGAATGGGGTGATATGTTAGATAAGATGTCTCGTAGAAAGACTGAAGCCCTTGCACCTGAGCATTTTGAAAACATGTGGACTAAAGGGAGAAACTACAGGAGGAAGGGAGGTTCTAATCAAGTTATCGAGCCAGACACAAAAAGTTTTTCACCAACACTAAAAAAAGCAGATAATTCAAAGGCATTGTCCTGGCAGAAAGAAAAGGGTGGTGCAACCAAGATTAATTTCCCTGAGAGCAATGCTGTTCATTCTAGATGTAATGATCAGCCCGTGGCAGATAAGTTGTGCCCCCGTAATAATTTGAATGTATCAAGTCAGACTTCCGTTAGTTCATATGTAGAAGATGATGAGGATAATCTCATGCATTTGGAGAAAGTTGAATCAGAGAGCACTAGTTCTTGTACATGTGAAGATGAAGAAACTAGCTGTGTGACTGGTCTCGATTCTCCTGGCACTAGAGTATGGGATGGTAAAAATAATAGAAATATTTCTGTCACACACATTCATCATCCACTTGAAAGTTATGAAGGTCGTAAGACAAGAAAGACAGGTAAAGGGCATGTTCACTCTAGATTACATAAGGGACAGTCCGGGAGGAAAAGATCTAGATTAAGCAATCAGAAGGGGCTTGTCTGGCACGAAGTTGAGAGAACAAGCTTCTTATCGGGTGATGGACAGGATATCCTGAATTCTTCTAAAGAATATGTGAAATCTGAGGACTCTGGTGATGATTATGAGGCAGAAATGTTGGGCCGAATTTGCAGTGGAGCAACTGCTTTATCTGCATCCTTGGCTACCATACCTGGAAATCATAAGTTGGCTGTCAATAATGCTCAGAAAGACTCATTGTTGGCAGATTCTTTTTTTAAGTTAAGATGTGAGGTACTTAACATAATGCTTATTACTTTCTTTTTGTTACATCATGCTTTAAATTTTCTGATATGCTAAAACATGTAAGGATGTAATATCATTTCCCGTTGCAGGTATTGGGTGCCAATATTGTGAAGAGTGGCTCTACAACATTTGCTGTTTATTCCATATCTGTTACGGATATAAATAATAATAACTGGTCTATCAAAAGAAGGTGCTCAAGATACTGCCTTAAATTTCTGGATTTTTCCTTCATTCATCTTCTCTTGTCTTATTCACCTTTTATGTCCTTATGTGTGCAATGTTGAAATTTATTGTACTGGTTGTACAATGATGCTTTACAATCATTAGCTTCCCAGGATTTTTTTTATGACTTAATTTTATTGATGCTTAATATAGGTTTCGGCATTTTGAGGAACTCCATCGACGTCTTAAGGAGTTTCCAGAGTATAATCTTCACTTGCCGCCCAAACATTTTCTGTCCACAGGTCTAGACGTTCCCATCATTCAAGAACGGTGTAAATTGCTTGACCAGTATTTGAAGGTCATACATTTACTTGAAATTCTTCTTGTTTTAATCTTTTCTTCTTCTTTTTGGAGGGTGGATTTCACACTTAGAACATGTGTTCATGTATGTTTTACTGAAGTGTAGTTTGGTTGGCTTCTACTTGCCCACTATTACTTGGAAAGATTAACTTGGTACCACTGGACAAGTGGGCAACAAGGCCAGTAGTAGTATTTTCCTTCTCAATATTCTCTTCTATTACTAGAAAAGCCCTTTGTCATGGAACAAATTTATTGACTATTTGATCATGCCCCAATCAATGTGGAGAATATGAGAAGCTTTGGATGAATAATCTTACTGGTCAATTGAGAGTGCATATATTTCATCTCCTAACAGATCAAATTGGTTCAAAAAGAACATTCATCTTGGAAAGGATGGAGTAATATATAATTATATAGGTCTGCAAACTCCACATCTTTTCTTACTGAAAAACTTCATCTTTGCTCACTGCACAATTCCTTGTAACATTGCTGAGTGTGGTTTGCTTGTCAGAAATAAGTTCACTTCCATATTAGTACTCGATATGTGATGTAATGCATTTTGTTGGTGTTGATATGTTTTCTTGTTTCTTCTGTTATCACTTTTTTCATGACTCATTTATATTTTCCGTTCCTCAGAGGCTTCTTCAGCTTCCAACTATTTCAGGATCAATTGAAGTTTGGGACTTCCTGAGTGTTGATTCCCAGGTTTGTTATTTCCTTTTTTATAAATATTTTTTCTTTTGTAGTTGTTGGGAAAAAAGTCACATCACTCTTGTTTCATGGAGAAATTTCTGATTTTTTGTTTTGTTTTGTTTTGCATAATGCAGACATATATATTCTCAAATTCTATTTCTATCATTGAGACATTGTCAGGTAAATCATGTTTCTTGCCAGCATTTTTAACGTACTTCATTTCTCTTTTTTCGCTTGAACTATTTTGACATTATTGTCTCATACTGCTATCAAATTTTCTAGTTAACCCAGTTAATACACCACATGAAAGAAGTAAAGAGGCTCAAACTGCTCTTCGGACTGCAGAACCCCTATCCTCGTGGAGGGAACAACAAAATGCTGAAAGCAAGGAATCTGCATCACCAGTGAAGCATAATTTTGTTGCACATGAGTCAAAATTGAACAGAAAAGCTGCAGTTCATTCTCCACAAAAAAGGTCTGCAAAAGAATTTGGAAAGCCATTTGAGGATTCTGGTAGTGACTCTGATAATGTGAACCAGAGAAATATATCTCCAAACAGAACATCCATAAAGGGAAGTGAAGGTGATAATTTACAAGTGTCACCTCAGTCGCTTATTGATGCTTCTACCGACCCAACACTCCCTTCTGAGGTAATTGCTATCTATCTGTTATCTACCCTGCACAAGTTTCTTTACTGATATTCGACTTTTGGAATTGCCTTACCTTTTTTATGGTCACTTGATACAAAGTGCTGTAGTGATATGACCAATTTTCTAGGTGAATTGTTCTTATTCTGGTTCATAGTATGTGGCACCCTTCCTGTTTATGCTCTGTATGCGTTTTGTAATCTTTGTTTATTTAATGCAGTGGGTACCGCCAAATTTAAGTGTCCCCATATTAGATTTGGTTGACGTTATTTTCCAGGTCAATGACGGTGGATGGATCAGGTATTTGATATGTATAATTGTTAAATTATGTCTAAAATCGTTTTGATTTTGGAATTTGACTCCAAATGTCATCTGTTTTCCCGATTTTCTTGATGTTTACTTTCTAGTGCATTACAGGCGGAAGGCTTTTTGGGTGGCCAAACAGGTATTACAATTGGGAATGGGTGATGCCTTTGACGATTGGTTGATTGAGAAAATCCAGCTTTTGCGTAGGGGAACAGTGGTTGCTTCAGGGATCAGGCGGGTTGAACAGGTGCAAGCAATATGCCCGTTAATCTTTTGCTTATTCAAATGAACTCTGCCATGCTTGAAGTTCTTGATACCAAGTAGCATGAAACAGGATTGGGGTTTTCAGCTGGTCTTAACTCTAATTTTGCAATTCCTAAGAATCATAACTATATTTTGGTTGTACTCGCTCAATTTAAACAAATTATCCAATAGTTTTAATTTAATTTATTTTTTGAGATCATTAAGATTAGCACGAGGGAGGGAGCATCATCACATGGTTTCATGTTATTTCCTTGTTGCACAAAGCATACTTATGCCCTCATCAATATTTACTAGTACGATTGACATTCACCATGATTGCTCTTTTACTTTGGTTGGTTACAATATCTTCAACAGATTTAACCCTGATACTAAGTGAGCATTTGGGGACAATCTAAAAAATCCAAAATGTTGGTTGTTATCAGCTAAAAAAGCCAAATGTCACATCAACTTTTTCACTCACAAAAAAACATGTTTTTTAGCAACTTCTGAATACATTACATTTTTTAGCTTCTAAAAAAAAGCCAAAAACGCACTACAAATTCCAACCCCCATAACTTTTTTCTCTCTCCAACGTCAGTTGATGTAAGCTAAAAGTAATATGTTGGACATATTTGCTTCGAAGCATACTTCTAAATGAGGGTTAACCATGAGGTGTGGTTGGTATTTTTTTGCTATTTTTGAGTAAAGAAGTGGCACAAGAGCCTCAAATCTGACTCAATCATTAGTTTGTTTCCATTGAAGAGCATATGGTTTTTCGTTGGTATACTAATGGGGAGAATATGCTTGTTTTCTGGAAATCTTTTATGACAGAAGTGTCAATTGCTTCCCTGACATTTCCCGTCTAATTCTTGTTTGTCATATAGATACTTTGGCCTGATGGAATATTCCTAACAAAGCATCCAAAACGACAGCGACCAAACCCCTCTGGGACCACACCACAAAGTTCGCCTAAAGTTCAACCTCTCACACCTATATCTTCACCTAAGAAAGAGGATACCCAACAGTTGGATGAGCAGCAACGAATGGAAGCTGAGCGGCGTGCAAAATTAGTACATGAACTAATGATTGGTAATATTACTTGTCCAATGGATTTCCTGCTCATTAATGGCATTGAAGCAACGTTGTTTTGTATTGAAATTCCAATTGCAATTCTTGGATAATGTAAACAAAACTATTTTTTTTTTCTTTTTTTTTCTTCTGACATAGATAATGCACCGGCTGCCATTGTGGGTCTTGTCGGTCGGAAGGAGTATGAACAATGTGCAAAGGATCTCTACTACTTTCTTCAGGTGATTTGCATGATGGGAAACAACCTTAGTCTGTTTAATCTATCTGATAATTTATCATGTCATGTCTTGCAGTCGGTTATTGTTTGCCTGAACACATTTGAACATGCCATCTTGTATTATCTCTCCAATTAAACAGAATAGGATTGTTCATTTTTATTTTATTTATTTATTTATTTTTGGTTTTACTATGTTTTGAAAGTGACTTCCCATAATTTCATTCCGCACGTGTGTCTTGTCATTGAAAGTTTGACGACCATTCAATGTACCCAAAAAAAAAAAAGAAAGTACTTTAACCTAAATGCACGTATACCCGAAAAATCCAATCCATGATTTTTTTATTTTTTTGATGATGAGGAACCTCCCCAAGGTAGGGCCACATTGGACAGACCCTTATAGAGTAAACCCTGGATACCTACAATCAACCACACACCACAGGTATCAGTTAAGCCTGGTAGACACTAGCGAGAGTCAAACTTAGGATGCCCGAGTTTGCAGTTCATCCCAAGGGCCAACCCTTTTGCCACTAGGCTACGCATGAATATTGGTCCTCCCGTCATTGAATTTCAATCGAAATACATAAACAATATTTCTCCTCCTCCCTCCTCTCTTCCTATGTTTTTGTTTTTGAATAAAAGAAAGTATGTACATTTTGTACGCATGCCAATCTCATTAGTTTGACTTGATCTGTGCAAATGATAAAACTTTTTCCCAGTTGGTTATATATTCCATTTTGTTGCTCTCTTGCTTGTGCAGTCGTCTGTGTGTTTGAAGCACTTTGCTTTTGACCTTCTTGAGCTGCTGCTCCTGTCAGCATTCCCGGAGATGAATTATGTCTTCAAACAGTTGCGTGAAGAGAAGGAGAAGTTTGGGGAATTCAGACCTGTTTGATGTGGTATTATGTCTTTGATCACATATTGAGAGCAATTTTTATATATTTGTTTTCCTTTCTTCTCCTTTTTTTTGTTTTTTTTTGTTTTTTTGTTTCCTATTTGAGGTACATAGTTTGGTGAAGGTATATGTTTCTTGTGTCACTGCATCTACCTGCAACGCGGAAATTGAGTTTTTGATTTGAATTGGTGGAGCCATGCTCATTAGGTTGGACTTGGGTCCGATTTGTAACTAGCTTTTTATTTTGCTATCGTGAGGAAATTACGTGTAAATCTCCGGGCTGGTATAGATATGAGGAAGTTGTCTTCTATATCATTGTAATGTTATGATAACTTTTTTTTTTTTTTTTAAATTATTTATTTTTAAAGTCTTGCAGCAAATGTATTCTCAGCTTTCCTGGAATGTGTAGTTTTTGAAGTTGCCTTTACTGGTTTTGCAACTGCTTTTAAAGTGTGCATATTAGGACTTCATTTGCCCTTTTATTTTGTCTTTTGTCTGTTTTTTAGAAAACATTATTATATTTAAAAAAAAAATTGTGTTCCCAAATTTTTTTTCAAAGAAAGCCCAAGAAAGAATAAAGTAGACAATTGATTGGGAAGATATCTAACATTAGCACTATGTTTGGATTACATGATAAGTTAGAAAGTTACTAATATGAGTTGTAAAAAAATTAACATTTTTCTATTTTTCACCACTTTTATGAAAAGTTTACTATTTTTTTTCTCTTCACTTTTTATCATTTTCGTCTTAAACAAATTCAGCCACAAAGCCTCTCAATAGAAATGGACTATGGAAACAAAATATATTCTTAAATTTGCACATAGACGTTATCCTTGTCGTCTCAAGAAACTTCTAGGCATCTTAGCCTCGTCAAGTTTTCCAAGTTGACACCGAACATTCCCTACCAATTGGAGAATAATAATACACCAAACATGAACTTTCTTCATGACATGACTTGACTTGACTAGTTGTCTTACTAGTGGCTGTCTTGGTAGAAAAGGAAAAATATTATTCAAAAAAGTATAGTCATATTTATTTGACGGATTAAATTGGATGAGATTGTTAATAAGAGAATGGCAAGCAAAGAGATTGTTAATGTGTGAATTGTTGATGAGGAGATTAGGTGAAAGCGTGTTTGTTTGGATGATATAGTGTTGAAAATGGTTAGTGATGAGATTGTTAAATTATAGATTACCAAAAAAAAAAGGATTGTTAAATTATTTTTATAAAAAATTAAAAAGATAATTTATATATTAAAAAAATATCCAAAACAAATATATATACATATATATTTATAAAAAAATAACAAGTTGCAATTGCACACAAAAAAAAGAAAAAGAAAAAGAGCATTGCTCCGGTCAATCGGCCGGACGTCCAGGAGGATGTCCAGGCAGGCGACGGAATAAACCCAATCCACTCATTATTTTCCTAATCTCACGCTTTTCTCAGCCAAGTTAATCCCCCTATTAAGGGGGGTTACTAAGCTACTCACACTAGTAAGCTAACATCCCAAATCAACACCAAACATCTTGTAGGTGGGATCCATAGCCATTCTCAAACAAACGGGATTTAAGTATAGAGAATGTTTTAAACACATAATATATAGATATGATATATATTTTTTAATTATAGGTGTTTATGTTTTTTTGTTTCACATTTGTACATTTTGTATTTAAAATTGGGAGAATTACAATTGTTAATTTTTTTTGTTATAAAAAAGTGATAAAATATTATAAATATTAACAATTAAAATTATAGAATATTTCACCAACGTACAACAATTTTTCAAAGCACCCTTGAATAACAAATTTTTCTTTAAATTTTCTATACATACACATCTAAAATATAATCTAATTGAACGAATAGATTGACATTAGAACAACCATGATTAACTAATACTGCTAATAAAAACGCAACAATAACAACTTCAAACCTCCTAAATTGGGTGAATCTCAGTTTTTTCTCCCAAATGAAGTCATATGATCTATATATTAGAATCTTACTTTGGGGATTCATAGTGAAGGAAACGATATGATTTTTAATTCTTTTAAATCCTTCAGAAATCACAATATATCTCATTAAAGCCTAAGAAGAATGGAAATTCAAAGCAAACTGAAATCAACTACACATCAAAAGAATGACATTTTCATTTCATATCAATTTTTTTAAGGAAAATTACAAAAAAAAAGGAAAAGAATTCGGCTCTCGGAACAAAATAAATCTTAAATTTTTAATTTTGTCAATTAAAAATCTAAACAATTTTTTTTTATTTTCGTGGTAAAACTAGTATTTGTGATTAAACTTGATGAAAAAAAATATTTTAGAGTGGACCAAGATACAGAGCCCAGCCCCAAATGAGAGTGGTGACCCGTGAATCTTAGGGCTCCAACCCGGCCCTTCATTATTCGGATCGAATCTATGGAAAAAGCGCGGGAAAATTGAAAATGCGAGCGAGGAGAACATATATATGGAAGAATCACAATTGGAAGATACAAATCAAAAAATGGAAGAGCAAAGCGAGCTCAAATTCCCAGCTTTCCCATTCAAACCCTACTCGATTCAGATCGATTTCATGAACTCTCTCTATCAATCTCTCGACAGAGGAGGCATATCCATGCTCGAAAGCCCCACTGGTATAGTCCCCCCCCCCCCCTCTCTCTCTCTCGATTGAATTTGATTTTTTATACACAATTTTCGCTACAGGGACTGGGAAGACACTCAGTATCATATGCAGCGCTCTGCAATGGCTCATCGATCGAAAGCAGAATCAAAATCCTGAATCTAATGCCCATTCCAATCAGAATCGAACATCTGGTTCAGACGATGAACCTGATTGGATGAGAAACTTCATTGCGAACAAAGACAATCAAGTAGATCAAGAGAAGACGACAAATAAAAAGAAGAAGAAACAAGGAATTATGTCTATGAAACTAGATAAGCGAAGAGATGGGGAAATTTTTGGAGAAGATGAGGATGTTTGTAAGGTAAAGGAGAAAATTGATGGAGAGGACGAGTTTTTAGTAGAAGATTACGAGAGTGAAGAGGAAGGTGGTGTTGGAAGCGGGCAATGTAAGAGGAAAGCTAGTGGAGTTTCGATTAGTTCATCGAGTGAGGATGAAGGTGAGGAAGATGATGGTTTTGATGACGAAGATGAGGCACGGTTAAAGATTTATTTTTGCAGTCGGACGCATTCCCAGCTTTCGCAGTTCGTAAAGGAGTTGCGAAAGACTGTGTTAGCTAGTCAGTTGAAGGTTGTGTGCTTGGGTTCTAGGAAGAATTTATGCATCAATGAAGGTACACAGATCATTGTATTGAATAATTATAAGTATAAGAGTTTGTTTTATGTAGAATTCAGTTTTGAAATTTTGTTCCAGAGGTTTTGAAGCTTGGGAACTCCACTCGGATTAGTGAGCGGTGCTTGGAGCTTCAAAAGAATATCAAAGATGATGTTTCCAAAATGAAGGTAGGTATGATGATGGCTGCTTTCCTGAACCTTGTATTCATCTTGTGAAGCATGATTTCGGGCTAATTTGGCCTGCATTTGCTTTCCTTTCATCATTAATACCTTAATGATTTCATGGTTTTGGAGATGCAAATTATTGTGTTAACTTGATAGACAATATCACTCCAAAATCACAATTAAAAGTACCATGATTGCAGAGGTTGCAACAATTAGAACAAGAGATCAATCCTATTGCTTGCTTATTAACTTTCACATAATTCATCAATTTGGTTAATACTGCTAACCTTTGACCCAGATATATTCTTCATATTGGTTGCTAAATGCTAAGCAATACCTCCATCTCTTTGGTGATTTTTTTATTCTGTTTATTCATAATAGATGATCTAGTTAATAGTATATTGTGATTCTCTTTGATATCTAAATTGACCAATAGGGATGTAATAATAGTGTTAATTCAGATACCAATAGGGATGGTAAAGGAGAATTTATATTATTACCATCCCTATTGGTCAATTCAGATACCAAAGAGAATTTATATTATTACCATCCCTATTGGTCAATCCAGATACCAATAGGGATGGTAATAATAGTTAATAGTAGTGTTGTAATGTTTTCATTCATATTGAGAAATTCTCCTTTTAAGTTAAATGCTATAAACTTTCAAACTGAATTGGTAGGGTAGAGTTGAATGATGAAAATTTTGTCTGTTGAATTTCTATAAGAATTCAGATATTAAGAACAACCATTTGCTTAAATTCAAGTATCCATTTCAGTTGAACCAGAAATGTGCTTCGTAGAGTAGCCACTGAAGGCCTTTCAATGCATTTTTGTTGCTTTCCAGTTCAGTACTACTATTTTGTGTTTATGGGGAACTAAAGCGATGGTGTTGATGTGTAGAATTTAGGTGGTGGAGGAAGAATACGCCGGACTAAGGTTTCTTCTGGATGTCCAATGCTTCGGAAATACAAGCTACAAACACAGTTTAGGAGTGAGATCTATCAAGAGGGGGCATTGGATATTGAAGACCTTGTTCTCCTTGGAAGCAGGATTGGAACTTGTCCTTATTATGGTTCCCGAAGCGTGGTCCCTGCAGCTGATCTTGTTGTTCTTCCCTATCAGTCTCTTCTTTCAAAATCATCACGTGAATCACTTGGTTTGAATCTAAAGAATAATATCGTTATAATAGATGAGGCTCACAATCTAGCTGACTCTCTTGTCAGCATGTACAACTCAAAAATTACTTGGTCACAGGTATAAAAATATTACCCTTTTTTTCATGATGGCTTCTTTATTTACTTATTTTTTATTTTTTTCATTCTTGACTTAAATGACTATAGTGTCTGATAATTTTCAGTAGCAAGCTTAAATTCTTAATAATGATTATTGGGGAATTTTGGTAAAAGTAAAATCATCGAAAGTGTATGACTCTTGATCTTTCTTCGCTACAGTTGGAGCGTGTACATTCTCAACTAGGAAGGTATTTCGAACGATTCCACAATTTATTAGGACCTGGCAATCGAAGATATATTCAAACTCTTATGGTTCTCACTCGGGCTTTTCTCCAAATTTTACATCCTGAGAATAGTACGAGTTACACTGATTCTTGCCCTGATGCTGATGGATTTTCTGGAGCAAAAAGTGCCAATGATTGTTCCATGGCCATTAATGAATTCTTATTTTCTCTCAATATTGACAACATAAATTTGGTTAAATTGGTACGGTATATCAAGGAAAGCAATATCATTCACAAGGTGAATGCTTTTTCTTACTCTTTATGTGACATTGAATGCCATTCAACATTTTCTTTCTTCTGAATTCTCTGGGTTTAGTTTCACGTTATATTTGATGTCTCAGGTCAGTGGCTATGGAGATAAAGCGGCTAACTTGTGTAATAGCTCAAAACTCACAGATGGAGATGAAAGCAATGAGGGAAGCAGTTTATCTGGTTTTCAAGCGTTAGTTGATATGTTGTTTTCTTTGACAAATAACCATGGTGATGGTAAAATAATTATTTCGACAAGACCAGCATGCTCTGGGCAGGAGGGAGGATACCTTAAATATGTGATGCTCACAGGGGAAAAGATCTTTTCTGAGGTTTGCTAAAAATTTCTGATTTTAATGTTATTATGATCAGTAGACGAGGTTTTTCTACTCTGATAATGTAATAACATTTATTCATTTGATAGATTGTGGATCAAGCACATGCTATCATTTTGGCTGGGGGAACTCTACAACCTATAGAGGAAACAAGGGAGCGACTCTTTCCGTGGTTAAAACCAGATCAGTTGCATTTCTTTTCATGTAGTCATATAGTCCCTCCTGAGAGCATTTTGCCAATTGTTGTTTCTTGTGGGCCCTCTCGTCAATCCTTTGATTTTAGCTACAGCTCCAGAAGTTCGCCAATCATGGTGAATACATTGAATCCTTCTTTCATAAAATTTGCAGGCACTTTTTTCTCACAGTGGTAAAAATTTCTCACTGATAATTATTCATTCTTTCAGTGGGCTCATTGTGTATTATAGAGTTTTCTAAGGATTTCTTGTTGCCGTATCATCAATTGCTCTACTTGGATATTTTTACTTGAATCTTTGAAGGCATAATTTCAACCAATTGAAATTCAATTTTCTGTTGTTAATCTTATAATTCAGAAAAGTTATGCGTGCTTTTGTTTTCTTCTAGATTTTCTCCCTTGAATAGATGGCTGACAAAGTATGTCCATGTGCTTGAAATTACAGATAGAGGAGCTAGGTCTTCTACTTTGCAATTTGGTGACTGTGGTTCCTGAAGGAATTGTTGTGTTCTTCTCTTCGTTTGATTATGAAGGACAAGTCTATGATGCATGGAAGGCTTCAGGCATCCTTGCAAGGATTACCAAGAAAAAGCATGTATTCAGAGAGCCGAGAAGAAACACAGATGTGGAAGTTGTCCTAAAGGAATACAAAAATGCAATTGATGCATTGTCTGGTGAGGATCTAAAAGCAGATCCAGCACCTCACAACGGTGCAGTTCTATTAGCAGTGGTGGGTGGGAAGATTTCGGAAGGTATCAACTTCAGTGATGGGATGGGTCGATGCATAGTTATGGTTGGACTTCCATACCCTAGCCCATCTGACATTGAGTTGATCGAGAGGGTGAAACATATTGAGGCTCTTGGCGACACAAATCCAAGTAATAATACCCCTGAATTTTATGAATGTTGTTACAATGGAGATGCTAAAGCTGGGTTTGGCATCCTGAGAAGTTGCAAGCGCAGAGGAAAAGAGTATTATGAAAATCTTTGCATGAAAGCTGTAAATCAATCAATTGGTACGTGCTAACTCCCATTGATTATTTGCAACACTACATAGCTTGGGTAAACTTCCCACTCAGAGAGAAAAAGTTCGATAGATCGTATTTTTTCTTTACTATTGCCTCTGATCCAGAAAAATAGTCCCATGTTTTTACAATGACAAAAAATAGTAGCAAAAACTTTTCAAAAATAAGACGTGAATTTGATGTGTTGTTTTGAGTGGATTTGTAGGATGATCTAGGTTAAATACCAGTTGTGTTGACCTACCAATGTGTGCAATTACAATATGTAAAGAGGGTTGTGTTATTTTTTATTTTTTCCCTGAAATATCTTTGCCTGTTTTTCTTCTTCTTGACTGGTCTATTCTAGGTAGAGCAATTCGACATATAAATGATTACGCAGCAATCTTGTTGGTTGATGCAAGATATGCTGCTGATTCCTCGAAAAGGAATTTCTCCCACCCGAGCAACAAGCTTCCCCAGTGGATTAAAGGTCGTCTTGTTTCTAAGACCAACAACTATGGAGAAGTCCATAGGCTTCTGCACCAGTTCTTCAAATTCAACAAAAAGAGAGGGGTTCAGTAGAAAGTCTTACCAGAGAAGTTACTTAAGTTCAACAGAGAATACATTTTACTAACACACAAATCAACGGACCTCACTGTTATTTGTTGGCTACATACTCGACATTCTTTGATGGAGGCTTGCAGTAGTTCTAAGAAGATAGCAGAAGTGCAGATGAAATATTGGACCTGTTTCGTGCATCTTCTTGCAAGTTGAAAGTTGATAATTAGAAAGTTCAAGCTAAATCCACATATTCTTCTACTTTTCAATAATCATTTTATTTTTAAAGCTTATTTAAGCTATTTGTACCTCATAAATTGTAATTAGAAGCAACTATGATATATTCTTCATGTTAAACAGTATAGTTATGAAGAAAAAACTGTTTTCTTCTATATTAACACATTGCGATTAATGCAACAGATCTAAATTTGAACTACTCTGCTTGTATAAGATTTACTCTCTCTCTCTCTCTCACACACACACACACACACACACACACACACACACACAAGGTTTGTCATTATCATTAAAGACAGTAGAAGCAAAGTAGCTGCTTCACCTGTAGCCACTGTCCAAGAGCCAGCACCGAATGGTTCTCATGCCTTTGAAGCCCTTGTTTTACGGGTAAGTGTAGGTGCATGCTTTCTGAACAACCGTTTAACGACCTCCCAAATGAAGCATGGACCGCATCTGGATTGCAAGGTCTCAAATAGAATGTTTTGAAATCCAGACAGTTGAGCAAATCAAAAACAGACCAATGTCACTGATCTAATCTTTCTAATCTTTGGGTCAATCAGAATCTGATTGTGACGTCATAATTATTTAAAAAGTAAATAAATTAATATTTATGCATTTCTTATGAGTGTTTATTTTAGTTTAAATGTTTTAAAATCTTATATGCATGGTTTTTATGGAAAGAAATTGTATTGATTTTTAAGGCGCAAAAAACAAGTTTGGCGTTCAATTCTAGGCCAGTTTTCTAACAGTATTTTCAATGACTGATCGAACCAGAAGATTAAATTGGGTCTAGTTTGAAAAGGTTTTAACAAAATAGGTTGGTTTTATGAAGTGAATCAGTTCAATAGATTATTCAGACTGTAGAGAGAACCGATCAACAATCCAACCTAGTCTAGTTTGATTTATAAAACATTGTTCAATTACATCAAAACTCCTGCAACTTTAAACTAAGTGTCAAAGTCACCTTTGGACTTGTCTAGTAAGTTACAAATAAGGTAGACCAGTTTTGGTATAACCTTTTGTTTAATATAATGTCATGTTTTGCAATTTGGCATATCAGTTCTCTTACAGTACACAGAGGCCATGCTTGTTTGGGTGGATATGAGCTTGGAATTGGACTAATAATCCAATAAGGCCATGTTTGTTTTGGCGGACTGGATTAGCATTCCCATGATTAATAGTCCTAGGATTACGAATTCGTTGGATTATGTATCCTATCTTAACTAATAGTCAAGTTTAAAATAATTAGTCCCTACTTCAATTGTTTAACCAAACATCGGATTAATAATTTTATTGGACTATTAGTCCAATCCCAAGCTCATGTCCACCCAAACAAACATGGCCTAAAATTATTAATCCGATGTTTGGTTAAACAATTGAAGTACGGATTAATTATTTTAAACTTGACTATTAGTTAAGATAGAATACATAATCCAACGGATTGGTAGTCCTAGGACTATTATTAGTCATGGGAATACTAATCCAATCCGCCCAAACAAACATGGCCAGAGGGGTTTATTAGTGCAATTTATCGAGTTGCTTATAATTTTTTATTTTGAAAATTTGTGTCAGAGTATTTAGTATAGTCGGGTTCATTGGTGCAATTTGTGTCAAAAATAACTTAAATAAACTAATTATTGAGAAGCGGGAGGAGAGATGCTCTGGACTTCTGCTTTTTTTTTTTTTTTTTGGTTAGAAACTGTAACAAACAAGTCCCAAGAGAGTAGAGTTGGTGGCATGATTTCAACATAGTAACTGCAAGGAAAGTGACTTCAATGTTCAGAAATCATATCCTCCTTATCCTTGATTTTTCTCAATCAATTATCCCTATTTTCCAACCAATTTTGGTACCCAGTACCAATCTCTTGAAATTAGGGGACCGCACAGCTTGTCCATATAAATGCATTGACAAACAAACAAACTTACAGTTCCTACAATGTGGAAGATAAGTCTCACCCTACTGGATTGCACCCCCCAAAAGTCCATATGATTAATTAAGGTCCCAAATTACATTTTGTTTTGTGAAAGCCTTTTTTGAGTTTTAAAATATGAGGCATGCTAGTATACATAATTTGATGAAATTATAATAATAGTATCATATCAAGTGTCTAAATTGCAATCTATTTTTTATGGACTCGGATACAAGTGTCCGGAGTAGGTGCACTTTTAGAGGTCAAATCTCAAATTAAAGGATATGTAGACTTGATAAAAAATTAATTGAAATAAAATGGTGTTATGCATAAACAGATAATGTCAAAAAGCAAATATATAAGTGTCTGATGAAAAGTATTAGACATATGTTTCACAGAGTGTTGACTGTCAGACAAGAATATTTAATTTATTTTGAAGAATTTCATGTAACATAGATTGTATTTAAAGAGACTGTGGACTCTTTAATCATAAATTGAGTAGGGTCAAAAATGGCTAATCATAATCAAGTAGTGGTTGAAAGCAAAGATTGCCACAATAAACTTTCACTAACCAACATTACTTTAGCTTTTTCTCTTAATCAATGCCAATACCCTTTCAACAACAGACAGTCAAAATGAAACATCCTTAATCATTGGATTTCTAATTTTTTTTAAACTAAGATAAAATGCTAATGAGAGTGACTCTAGTAGGGATGAAGGACAGTTCAGTTGGGTCGGTGTTGAGAAAAAATTCACACAGATCTAAACCCTTTGTTTTGTTGATTGAGAAACCAAAACTGATCATGTGTCATCGTTCAGTGATTGTTTTTTAGTTTAGTGTAAAGGACGGATTCCCGAGAACTTTTTGCTAAAACATATAGAATCGTACATTGAAAAAAAAAATGAAGAGAAAGGGTAAAAACTGCTCTGTAAATACCTCATACCATCCCTAACCTTTTTTACAAAGAGCATTGATAGAGACCTCCTCCAATCACCACCCCCACCACCTCCACACACACGTGGCGGGTGGTGATTGGAGGAGAAGGAAAAAAAAGAAAAAGCAAAAGAAAAAGTAGCCAATCAAAAAAGAGAGGGGGTCAAACGGGATAGGGAGAAAGGGGGTCTTAAACATTTTTGTTTTACAAAAGGTGTAGTAGTGGTTACTTAATCCTAAAAGAGTTTAAATATAAAGTACTAATATAGAATGTTTCTGTTGTTCGATTTTGAGCGGGTGGTTGGTTCAGTTCTATTGATTTTTTTTTATAGCCCTAGCCTTCTAGACATTATTTAATAGAGAGAGAGAGAGAGAGCAAAATAGAAAAATGGAAGTAGAAGCCAAAGCAGGAGACATTAATGTCCCTCTAAAATCCATTGCCTTTAATCCAAAGGAAAAATGGGAGTGGAAGCCAAAGCAAAAGACATTAATGTCCCCCTAAAATCCATGGCCTTTAATCTGAAGGAAAGTGGGAGAAACTGTATATTGGAAGCTCTCTTAGCTGTATATTGGAAGCAACATCTCTGGAGAGTAAGAAGCCAAACAAGCTGAAGCAGTTATCTGTTGCTGCTGCAAGCTTAAAAGACAGAGACACACAATATTCCTTGTAAACAAACACAACTGGAATCCACAAAATGCTGCTAAGAAACACTTTTTACAAGACCAAGACGTTCTTTCACAAAACCCTCCAAAACCTCAAGTCATTTCTCTTTGGGGGATACAAAAAGCTACCCAAAACCCGTCCTCTCAATCCCTTATATGGCGGCAATGGCAATCCAAACTTGCAGCAATTAGATCAGTTCAACAGGGACTTCTCCGAGCAGTGGCAATATGGTAATGATAAGGTGATGAAGAGCAAAGAGCTGAAGAATGAGGCAGATACTACTAGTGTAAGCTTCACGAAATTTGAAGACCGGAATGCTCTGAAGAGCGAATGCAAAGTGAGGGAAAAGGAAGAGAAGAAGAGAGGAAGCATCAGTCAAGGTAGAGGAGGAGAGGCATGTTCGCAGATTGGCAATGGAGGAGGAGGGGGTTATATGTTGGCAGAGAAGATGAGAGAGTTAGAGATGATGGATATGAATGATGTGGACCATGTGTTGGACATAGAAGAGGTGCTCCACAACTACTCGCGCCTTACGTGCCCAGTTTACCTTGACATTGTTGACAACTTTTTCATGGATATGTACTCAGAGTTCCTCATTCCAAAGCCCTCTGTCACCAGTACCAATTCATCACGGAGACTCGGCCCTTTGAAGCTCTAGACACTGCTGCCAATGGTTTCTTCCATGTGCATACACATGAATCTCTATATGTCCCTCTTGATTTCTTTTTTCTTATCCTCTGTGTGTTGTCTGTTTGTGTACATGTACTGTGGTTCTGTTTTTCAATTCCGTAATCCCCTCTCTGCACTTGCTAATTGCTATGGTGTATTCCTACCAATAATTTAACTATGTGAGATATGGACTTCATCTGTCTCTTTTCCTTGTGGGTTATTTTAGATTTCTTGAACTTGTGTTACTTTGTCTGCATTTTTCGTTAGTGTTTTTAATCTTACGCTTTCTAACATTTTCTGTAGAAAATGCTTTCCTATGTTTGGTTGCAACCTTGAAACTAATGTGCTAGTGATTGTATTATTAGTGGTGTTGGTGGTAGTGGTGGGGTGGCGGAGGTGGGGTTGGTGGAGGTCATGTGGTGGCATTGGTTAGACTTTTAGTCATGAAAACGTTTTCTATCTTCAAAAGTGAATATGTTTTCTACCCTAATAAACTTGTTTCTGTTGATCATGGAAAAGTTGTACCAATCACCAGAAAATGTGAAAAACATTTTCTGCCAAAACAACAGAGCTTAAATGTATTTTTGTGCATAAATCAACAAGAACCTCATAATCAAATGAAAAATCCCACATCCAAACACATCATGAAAAACCCCACATCCAAACACATCTTTTTCTTACAAGAGAATTTTATTTTATTTTTTAATACTAATTTGGATGAACCAATTTACAGCTTATGAGAAACTTCTACCATTTCTAACCTGTAATGAACAATTACACCAGCATATGATTGCTATAGTATGTACAAACTACAAAAGTTCAACAAATCCCAAATTTGAGTTTCCAAAACATTCCAAACTATATTTCATAGACTGAAATAGTAAGAGTGAATGAACAATGTCATCTAGCAAACAACTCAAACCATCTTAGGACTGGCTGAACAAGTGGCATAGCTCATACCTTTCTCAGGCCACCTTCGAACAACTGATCCGAACCTGACCCATTGGCCCAGTCAGCAGTCCAAGATTGGAAAGCTTCATCATTGCCCGAGCGAAGTCCCGTCCAAACAAGGAATCATCTGAGGCGTATGCTCTAACCCAAGCTTCAGTTTTTTCCTCTGCTGTTAGCTGCTGATCGACATAGAGGATTCCTTTAGATTCCAGCAGACCACGGTAATATAGTGAGCCAAAACCTGATCCCCGTCCTTGATAGTCCATCTCCACTCCTGGCTCCTGTGATGAGGAAGATCGTGACGCTGAGCCATCATCAGAAGATGGCGATAACAATGGTGAAGGTGATAATGATGTGTGGCTGTCATTGCATTTTGATCTTAGGAGATCGAGGAATTGGGGGTCTAGAGTTGGGTCTGGCTCATCGGTGCCACCAAAGTTGTAAAGCCGGTTGAGGATGAATCTGCAGTGAATTGTTCCAATGCTGTGTGCACCTGCTCAGAAAACGGAACAGAAGAACCTAGTTAGGTGTAACTATCTTTCTTCACCCCCTTTCATCATGATCATCTAGAAAATGAAAATTTTCAATTTCTTTACTTTTTTCTGAGTTTTCTGAGAAACCAAACAGAGAAATCCATCATAAATAACCCAATTTGAATTGCAATAACAAAAGAGAAAAAAGTTGAGGGCTCAAACCAATTGACAAATAACAACAATCATGCAAAAACTAAAGACATGCATTGAAAACTGAAAACTAGAGATTTCTTTTCCTTGAGAAAACTATGAAGAAAAGAAAGAAAGTGAGAAAGGGAAAATTTTAATACCCAAGAGACTGACTGTTTCTCTTTCATTGAATCCCCTTGACGCAAAGGATGCGACGATTTGTGGGAGATCGTTCTGGGGATTAGGAAGCTCATATGTTGCAACTTCTGAGAAAGAAAGAGTGCTGTCTCTCCTACCAGTTTGCAGAGGGTAGAATGGGCCACCAGCCTGAAATTCAAGATTTAGACCTAAATAGGATAACAAACCACAGAGAGAGAGAGAGAGAGAGATATTTACCAGAACAACACTTTCTCTAGCACCCAAAACAAGAATATCAGCACAAGAAACTACTCCTGGGCAAGCTTCTTCGAGCTGCGACTTGATCATATCGATTAGATCAAAGCCCTTCAAGGTTTCATTGGGAGGAGACTCTTTCTCACTGTCAATTCCATCAACGGCATCCAGTAAAACCGAGGCGTCACACCCCTGTAACAACATATTGATTAGAAAATAACCCAAATCACAATCAGACATAAACATCATGAACCCAATGTGGACCAAGAACGTATTTCACAAAGTTGCAGAGAAATTAAAGAAAATAAAAAAAACAAAAAACAAAAGTAGTGCAAGAAAACAAACTCAAAGCCAGAGAGTTTGCAAGAATAATTATAAAAATAGGATAGAAGCCGCAAAACGCTGAACAGATGGTGAGCATACCAACAAACCCAGATCAATATCAAGAATGAAGAACAACCCAAATCACAATCAGACACAAACATCATGATCCCAAGTCTAAGAATGTATTTCACAAAGTTGCAGAGAAATTTAAAACAAAAAGTACTGCATCAAAAAAAAAAAAAAAATCGGAGAGTTTGTAAGAACAATTATCAGAATCGGATAGAAGCCACAAAACCCAGCATAACAACAAACCCAGATCAATATCAAGAATTAAGAACAAGAAATTTCACCTCAATGAAACAATCATGGAAGACGAGCCGCAATAGTGCAGGAGCGACATCAGAGCGGACCTCGTAGAGACTGCGAACCTTTGATCGGATGATTTTCTCGGCTTGGGGGCAAGATTTGCGGTAGAAATCATATTCGAGTGGCCTGGGATTGCCAATGTCTTCGGGCTTCTTGGCAATTTTGGAGAAGAAGATGGAACGAGACATTGATGGAGCTACGAGAATTGAAGGGGAATCGGATGGAGAGTGAGTGATGGTTCGAAAACCCTTCTTGGTTTCGGCATTTTCTTTCTTCAGAGAGATCAATAGACACAATAGGAACACTAGAAAGCTCAGTTTCCTCATCAAATCCATGTGCAACACTAGAAACCTCTCTCTGTTTCTCTCTCTCTCTACTCTGTTTTCTGATATTTTCTCTCTTCCGGTAGAGAGTTAGTTGGGAACATAAACGAATTGAGCGGGAAAATATGTGATCATAACATAACCGTTGGATTTGGTAATTGATCATCATCACATGATTTGAGAATATGCTGTTTTAGTATTAGCTTGTTACAAATTTAAACAACCTCTAGTCTTTTGTCAAGTCATGTTAATGTTTATAAATAATTTTTAAAAAAAATTAGGCCTTATTTGGTTTGTTTTTGAGAAATAAATTTTGAATTTTTTTTTTTTAAAATTTTGTTTGGTTTAGTGATTTTGGATTTTTTTTTTCCAAATCACTCTCTCTCCTACATATCAATCAATCATTTTTTTTTCTCTCCTCTTTCTTTCTCAATCACTTTTTCTCTCACATACATCTACTTAACTACAACAAAATATCAAATCATCTCAAACTCCCGTACTCAAACTATTTTCAAAATATATAACCAAACAAATTTAAAAAAATTTCTAAACTTTTTTCCCAATTTTTTTTTTAAAAAATTTATCTCCCAAAACTAAACCAAACACACCCTTAGTGTTTTAAAAATTGACCCATACATATTATTTACGAGTTGATGTGTATAGAAAGGTGTTTATTAATATTATTTGATATTGACCAATCTATATACTAAGGAAGGGAAAGGTTTTGAATCTGATAGGACTTTTGTCCTATGTGTCAAAATGTGAACTATTAGATTGATCCAATTCAAGGGCTAAAAATATGAATTGAATCAAAGGCTAAGAGGATTTGTATTCTAAAATGCCACAGAGATAGAAAGAGTTTCAAATTTTGAAATTGTATCTACATCGGCCCCTCAATGCCTCTTTTTGTCTCATCTTTACTCTCTCTTCCTCTCAGCCATCTTCTCAGCCTCTCGCTCTCAAGACTCCCTTCATCATGTCAACCATCTCCTCTCGTAGAATCTGTTTTAGGGCTTTCACCGTTTCTGGAAGACAAAAAAACGGGTCAGAAGAAAAAGCCATGAGGCAGAGAATAATGTACCATGGGTGTTCTGTATAAAGAGATCCCATAGTGGAGGCTAAGAGGGGAGGAGATCACAAATATGTATTTTAATTTATTCTATTTTAATTTTTTTATAATCTTTGTCAATCTTCAAGGTGATCTCAATTTGTTAATGTTTAATGTTAACAAACTATTTAATTTTATTCGAAACCCTGTTTTATTTATTCACTATTGTGTTTTTATCTTCATTTTATTTTTATTTTAGCCACTTGATTTTTTATTAAAACAAAAATTTCCCCTTTCCATTTGCATAAAAGAGAAGATGAGCAATGAAGCAAAATAGGACTAGTAAGTAGTGGAAAAATTGGGAGTGGAAGGAACTTTGGAGCAGTGGCCAAAAATGTAGTTCATGATAAAAATACTACTGCTAAAACTTTTTATTTTTATTTTTTATAATTTGCTTCAACCATCTGGTCACTTTTTTCTATAAGTTTGGTCACTTTTTCCCATAAGTTTGGCTTTCTTTTATTGGTTTTCTTTATCTTTTTTGTCCAAAGTGTATTGTGGAAGTATCAGTAGCTTTATTGTGAGTGGTTTTGGTGGATGTCAGAGCAGTGGGTATTCAGTGAGTATTTAAATAGAATGAATGTCTTAGCATCATTTAATGAAGTGGGTATTCAATGATCATAGAGTTTTTTTCTTCTCCAAAAATACCTTTTTCTCTATTTATTTGTTTGATGTCAAAATTCAAACCTTAAAATCATATCCTTCTATTTATTTTTGTTGTGAGTTGGGTGTTGCCTTTTTTGAATTGATCATGACATGTATGGAGCTTTTGTTTCAACAATGTGATTATGACAGTGGATTCAACTTCTTTATATTGTTGTCTATTCGAAAATGTTGAGTTTAACGCTTATATAATGGAGTTTTGGTTTCTTTTGTGAAACACTGTAGACACCCCATTTTTGACCAACCTTAAGACTCAGACGTCACCAGTTGAGCGCTTGGTGATATTGCATAATGTGCTCGTTCAGAAGTGATTGAGCGCTCGGTGACGTTACATATCGTGCTCGTTCAGAAGTTGCAGAGTCGCGGCCGTGAGCCTTGCCTCCGGATTTCCGAACCCTCTTTTGTGCCTTGCCTCGGTTTGCGAACTAGACTCGGTTTTCTCTGTTTCTTTTCCTGAGGGGAGGGAGAGGTCCTGTAGACCATCTCTCAGTGGCCGTGGGCTACGTTTTGTGGTCGTAGGCCATTTTGCCTGCTTGGAGCCCGGTTTCCGATTTTCGGAGCCGTCAGGCCATGTGCCTCGGTTCAGGACCGCCTAACCATCTCCATTTGCTCTGATTTTTGGCATGCATCTTATTTTCTCCCTTTTGAGGGATACTGAGGTCTGAGAGACCCACTTCGTGGTCGAATACCACTTTCGATGTTTAACAGGCAGTTTTCGGGGCCCCGAACTGCGCGTTTTGGCCCCTGAACATTCGTTTTGTATCGGTTTTCGTTCATTTTTGGCAAGTACCTCTGTTTCATCACCAGGAAGGCCGTAGAAGGGTGGGAGGCCAGCAATTATTTCAGTAACCAGTTATATATCCTTCGGCACCCTCCGACGCCCGTTTTTCTCACTTCCGAGCCAATGTTGAACACCCTTGGGCCATTTTCTTGAACTTTTAACCACATATTTGTGATGTACACACATAGGAGGACACTAAAAGTTGGTGGCCGGCCACTAATGTAGCTTGACCCTTTTGAACCCCTCCTTCCGAGCTAATGTTGAACACCTTGGAGCCACTTTCTTCAACCCCAAACCACATATTTGTGTCGTACACACATGGGAGGATCCTAATATCATATGGCCGGCCACTATTTCCTTTTGACCCTTTTGAACCCCTCTTGAAAATGGCTTGTTCTCTCTCCTGTTTTAGAGTTTCCAAATTCGAACCACAGGGTTGTGATGAGGAGACCTGGGAGGCCACCTTTTTGTCATGGCCGACCACTAATTAAACTTGGCCTTTTTGACCCTTGGCCGGCCGGCTAGGGGAGGTGGCCGGCCGGCCACCTGCAGCAAAAGTAATGGGTCGGCCATGTTCCTCTCTCCTTCCACTTTACAGCTGTGCAGCTGTTTCCCCCAGAAAATATCTATATCCGGGGGATATTTTGTGGGGGAACAAGAGGCTTCATTTTGGCTCCACTTTGGCTAGACTCTTCTCTTTCTCTCTCTTGGATATTGCTGGCCTCCCAACTCAAGAAAAGGGGTTACAAGAGTTGCTAGGAGGAGATACATGCATAGCACCCCATTTCCTTCAAGTTTTGGGCTCCATTTCTTCATCATCTTCAACCTCTACCATCACCCCTCCATTCCAGCAGTAAGGGGAAGAATTCCAGCAGCTTAGAGTCACCAAATCTGGTCCAAGAAGCAACAAAAGTGTTGGTCTTCAAAGGTAAGTCCAATTGCCCTCCTTTCTAGCTCATTTTTGCACCATCTCTAAGCCATACATGCTTGCTGATTTGAGCTCCGACCAAAACTGAAAGTGGCCTTCTTTTAAGCTCATTTTCTTGTTTCATTAAGGGCTCAACCCTGTTTGAGGCCCCCATATTGCACTTGCTTCAATATCCCCTTGTTTGTCAATTTTCTTGCATGCTTTGGCAACCCATTATGCTTCCATTTTTGGGCGTTTTACAGTTCTGTAAATAGGCTTATTTTGAGTCTCTCTTCAACATTGAAGAAGGGCTCATCACTGTTTGGGACCTCCATATGTCACTTCATGTTATATCTCTCTTTTAGTCCCCATTTTTGCATGCTTTGGCAGCCTATCATGCTTCTGTTTTTGGTCTTTTTACAGGCCTATAAATAGTCTTATTTTGACCTTCTTAACATGTTTCATTAAGGGTCTTTGGCTGTTTGGTGAATATTTTGCATACTTCATGTTATAGCCTCTTTTGAGCCTCAATTTTGCATTACATTTCTAGCATGTTTTTATTCTGTTTTTGGGTTTTTACAGTTCTGTAAAGTGGCTTATTTTTGGCCCCTCTTCAATGTTGTTGAAGGGCCCTAACCTATTTGGAGTTAGCAGCTATGAGTTGCTTCA